CACACACACACACACACACACACAGAGTGTGCGCGCAGCATCAGTGCTGCTGGCAGCAGCTCCCCAGAGGACGGAGGAGAGGCGTGGTGGATGATGGGAACATTTATTTGAGCAGAGACCAGTTAGAGCGGTTTGTTGTCATCGAGGAAGGACATTCGGTAACGACGGGTTACAACTAGTTTCCCTGACGCAGATGGTGTGTGTGTGTGACCGGAGGAATACTAAACTGAAAGGGAGCACACTGAGGACGACGACCACATTTTAAGGACTATTTAGGCAAGCTGCAACTTGCCTGCATCGACCGACCATCACACAGCAACGGAGCGGAGGCAGCGACACACACATCTGCCCATGCTACACGCACACACTCTTATAACACACTCCGCCAAGAATAGATTGGGAGGATGAACGGAGCGGCGATTACGCAAGAGCTGACCGAGCCGCAGGGGGCCGCGTGGAGGGCGCTCCGGTTCCAGCGGCCGCACGGTGAGTGACAGCAACACACACACAGCCGACGGTCGCATGTCCGTGTTAAACAGCAATTTGTGTAACACAAACGCGCGCGCGCACGCATAAACTAGCCCACTTCCTCATTCTTTCATTCATTCGTGTCGCAGCTTGAGAGACTGTGCGCGTGCGCGGCCCCGTAACGCAAACTGTTGATCACTCTCATTGATTAATGAGCAGAGCGCGTGGCTATAGCGTGACCGCTACACCAGCGGTGCTGACGCTACACAAAAACAAACACACGTACTGTTTGAATCGGTTTCATTCAGACACACGTGCACGCGCGCACACGTCTGCACGCTCGAGGAAGCATGGCTGCTCCGCGGGGACCCGGGTGTCAGGAGGGCCAGGCGGTTATTTTGGGAGAGGATGGGGTGGTGTTACGAGGAGCGACCCACGTGTCCGATGAGATCTCTGCTTAAAGAAAACTAATGGAGTCCAGGAAGGGCGGGATACCCGCGCGGCGCGTGCGGTGCCAGAGCACAGGTGAGGTTTGAACAGGAAGCTTTAAGAGCAGACAGATGGACGTTAACCTCATCTCTCTCACACACACTAACCTCACACACACACACACACACACTAACCTCACACACACACACACACACACAAACCTCACACACACACACACACACACACTAACCTCACACACGCACACACACACACACACACACACTAACCTCACACACACACACACACACTAACCTCACACACACACACACACACACTAACCTCACACACACACACACACTAACCTCACACACACACACACACACACTAACCTCACACACACACACACACTAACCTCACTCACACACACACACACACAGGATACATTCGACATCATCTGACATGATCATAAAGGAGCAGCTCAGCGTGGTCCCTCGACTCCGCTTCCTGTACGCATGCTGGGGCAAAGTTTAGAGTTACAGTTAGTGATTAGTGGACGGCCTCATTCTGACAGAGTGACGGCTGAATCGACCAATCAGAGACGCTCCCATCAGGTGTGCCACTGACTCAAACTCCTCCCACCCTTCCCAACCAACAGCTGACATCGTGGGAGAAAGTTCACAATCAGTTCTCTCACCTGGAGAGTGTCTCTTTATCTCGTCGTCCTGTCACACACACACACATAGTACAGAGGTTTTACACACACACGCACACACACACACACACACACACACACACACACACTTGGCTGGTGAAGCCATGTCACAAAGAATGCTCACTCAAAATCCTCTGGAGAAGACATGGGGTCCGTGGATGAAAAGCAGGATGAGCCAGCGCAGAGGTTGTGAGTAGCAGACACACTAACACACACACACACACACACACACACACACACACAGCCTGACACTGCTACATTGCTTGTTTTCGTCTCGCTTCAGTGTAACAAGTCGATACTTGTGCATTATTCTATCTCAGTTTAACTTCACACCAGACGTGTTCCACATCTATTTCTATTTTTCCCCCAGAATTTTGAAAAAAATCAGACGCAGGTTCTTCCCAAAAACAGATCTCCTTTAGATCGTAATAACCTCCGTCTCTCTCTGAGGTCTTTCATCTCTTTCCATCGCTTCAGGACATCTTTGTTTTTTCATCTTAAATCAACTTCTTTATGCTTTTAATTTGTGCTTAATATGCTGATGTGATTTGTTCATTTATTGTTTTCTTGTACAACAGTGGAGGGTTTGTGTGTGTGTGTGTGCGTGTGCGTGTGTGTGTGTGTGTGTCTATATGACCTCTTAAATGAGATGCTACATCTCAAGGGGTTATTCTTTAATAAACTCTTGAATGGAGGTTCAGTGGAGCAGCAGAGGGAACGTTTCTGTGTTGGTTTGTTTAGAGGATCTTCTCTGTGAGAGACCGGAGGGACGTTCACCCCACAGGGCCACCGTGAGAACACGTGGTGTTGGGCCTGATGTGAAGATCTTATTAAAGGCGCCTCCTCTTAGTCCCTTTGTCCACTAAATGGTCAATTTTGGTCTCAATCCTCTAGGATCTCTTTAGTTCATTAGTCGTTGATTATGCTGAATGACGTATTTCCCAAAACATTTCTGGCAAACAAAAGATTTAAACGGGTGCTTTCTGTGTGATTCTTTGTGGAGAAACTCAGTTTTAACGATTAAATCTTAAATGCACTTCAGATGGATAAACCCGGTCAGGTTTGGTTCTCTTCTGTGCCCAAAAGATGCTTCAACAGTGGTGGAAGAAGTACTTGGATCCTTTACTTGAGTAGAATATGAACAGTGTTATCAGCAAAAAGTACATGTTGTTCAGTGAAATGTCTCCTGTGACTGATATTTTATTAAATATGATATTATTCGACAATGAAGCATCAATGTCAGAGCAACGTGTTACCGTTGTAGCTACTTTTATCTACTTTACGTACAGTTAGTTTAGTACACTGGGTCCCGAGCTCAGGGTCGGGCCCCTTCAAAGGGTCACCAGGTCAATCTGAGGATTGAAGAAACTAAGGTCTGATACACAAAACTGTTTCCAGTTTTTGTGCCTCCGTGTCGGCGACAGTCCGTTCTTGTTAACGTGAACGCCTGGTGTAACAAGATATAACATATACATAACCCTCCTGTGTGTTTCAGCGTCGGTGCCCCAGTTCACCAACTCCCCCACCATGATCGTGATGGTGGGACTCCCGGCCCGAGGGAAGACCTACATCTCTAAGAAGCTCACCAGATACCTGAACTGGATCGGAGTCACGACCAAAGGTGTTGTGTCACAGTGATTACACTCACAAACCTCAAACTCATCACGTTGTTGTTTCATCGTGTTCTTACAGAGATATCTTCTTTGTTTCATCGTGTTCTTACAGAG